TCTCTGATAGTGGACATAGGGCTCTAGCCTGATTTATTATAATTCCTTGTGTCTTTTAAATGCTACCATCGTCTTCCTGAAGTAGTGCGACGATCATACAAATTTACTAGTCGGTCGACAAAACACCGATACCCTAGGATGAGATTTCATTTTCTATGTCTCAAAACACACATCCTGTGTTCCCACGAACTGTCCGACAGAACAAACACCGAACAGTTCACGAGAACACTCACTGAGTATCAACACCTAGTCTCCACGGTCAATGTTCCCATACACCCTCTGCGAGAAAGCCAGACCGTCCGGTGAATAATAAATATTCAAACCCGAGGTTAACCATTTTGGGTCTTGCACTCGCAGACCATCTGCTGCTCTGACGGACTGTTTGGAGAAACCAACACTTGGAATTTCTTACTTTGTGTACTGCAGCATAGTCAGTAAAACCGGCTAGGCCAGTTTTGGCAGACTACTATAAATTAGTTATAAAGTTCTTACTTCGTTGTTGATCCTGTTCACCCCCTTATAGGTATCAACTCGGTCTTTCAAAAGCTATTTTAAATATTTAATCTTTTCAAACATATTTTGGAAAGCCTTTTTAATTCTATTTTGAAAACCATTTTAAACTATATTTTGAGAAATCATTTAAAATAGCTCTTCTAAAAGCTTTTATGCTCTATTTTTAAATGATCATTTTAAAACTAATTTTAACCAAGTCTTGATTTTTGAAAGGTAGAACAAACAATTGTTGAAACTTTAAATCTAAAATTAAAACATATTTTGAGCTTATTGGAATATGTTTTTAAATTATTTTGAGAATTTAGACCCTTTTGTAAACATATTTAAAAATGCTTTTTAGACTTTTGAAACTAAAACTTGCACTTTTAGAGCTAGTGTTTGAAACATAATTGTGAAGTTTTATTTTTGAAAATAGAATAAAACCTATACATTGCTTGATCAAATTCAGAAATTCATTTTGCACACAATAAAGCTAATGCAAAGGCATATATGAATGTAAGCAAACAAATTACATTATTTTTTTGAAAAAATATAAATCCACATTTTCATTCTCTGAATTGACAAACTAAATAAGTCTCAAAAAATTTAGATTGAACATTAAAATCATTTTTACTTAGTGTTTTCTAGTCACATCACAAAATGGAGATTTTAGGGTGTGAAAAAAAATTCCATCCATCTTGGTGACATTGCTACTATCTAGGTGCGCTGTTAGGTTTAATAGGTGGGCTGTTAGGTTTAGTCCCACATCAAAATTGATGGCGGGGAGTGCAACATATAACCGTTACGCACTCTAACATGGGTGATAGGCTATCCAGATCACATTATTATCTTTCGATGTTATGTGAATCTGGAGAAAAATTGGACCACGTTATTATCTTCCACTATATATAGGCATTGGAGATTAACGTCAATGTTGAGGTAAAAAAATAAATGGATTGGGTGGCTCAAACTCCACAAGGTGATATTAGCCCCTCGTTGTTGCTATAGGGGCATATTTATAAAATCACCATCTTCAAAATTTGTGGAGTTAAAACTAAAATTGGTCCATTGAGAGCATTTTGATGTAATAATTTATTTTAGGCTACAAACTCTAAATCTACAAGAGCCGTGAAGCTTGAGCTCCCAAAACAGTCATTAAGTTATTTCTATGGCGACAAGAGAAGGTTGAGGTGTAGGAGAAATATGACATAAATACACAGTCCCTTATGGTTTTTAGGGGTGACAAAGGGGATCTGAGAAAGAGATTAGATAGTTTGCGGCAGTCCATCAACTCCTCAAAATTGTTAGTTTGTTGTCGTGATAGCATCATGACTTGATGAAATATCTTAATCGTGAATGGAGCCAATCAACCTAGTGGGATGGCGAAAGAACTCAACTATACTGTAACTATAATTATAACGGCACTATCAATTTCAATATAAATTCAGTAAAACTGGAACCCTTTTATGTGAAATGTTATGATCGACTACACACTGGTGGTAGAAACATTGTGTGTTTCTCATGTTAACACATTTAGGGACTATTTTTTGAGTTGTAACTTTTGGGCTTTTGGCTCAAAAGCTGACTTTATGTCTTCTGGTTTCGGGTTGTTTGGCCTTTTGTTATTGACTTTTGTAATAAATTTTTAGTTTCTCAGTAAAAACCGGCTTTCCAACTTTTGAAAAGCCAGCTCAACTGTCGTGCTGATTGTGTCAACTTCTGGCTGGCAGAAGCCAATAAAAAGTTAAATCAAACAAGTCCTTATACAGTAAGCAATCAACTCACATTTAAAAAAAAACATAACTCTCAGCTATCCCCAAAGTGGTATTTTAAGTATGTTGTTATTCATCCGACTAGCAGTTTGACAGATCACGTCAATCCAATGATTGAGATATAGTTTTAGCAAGAAATGAATTTGAAATATTGGACTCCAAGGATATATTAACTAATGATCAATACATACTAAGATATGTATTGACCAACGTGAAAGGGCAAGGCATATTGAAATATTTTATAGATGGAGACTAAAAATGGCTGCTAATCAAGACTTGCTTAAATGGTAATCTGGTAGTTTAAGGATGCTAATAAATACACTATCTGTTTCCAAAAATAATAAATATTCGACTAATCATTGGCAAATAGATATGCATAGTCCAGCTCAATTAAAAAGAATTTTCTTTTGTTACACAGAATTTTATTTGCAAGCTTTCTAGTGGTTATTGACAACTGGGCCCAGTTTGGACGCACAAAAGAATGACCCACTGCTCAGTGACTTGTGGTAAGAAGTTACACAAAATATGTTTTTCACGCCTTCAAATCTCATGAGATTTCTTTTCTTTTGTACCTAAATTCCTTCTATATAAGGGGTAGGGGTGGGGGCCTTTGTTCTCACCAAAACACATCTGCTCTCACAAGAAAACATTCCTTATCTTGCTCACATATTGGTTGTAGTAGTTTCGAGTTCTCCATTCCATGATGCCGAGGAGGGATAGGAGGTCAGGAGTGAGATTCATTGAGGATGGTAGGGACCGTAGTCTCACATTCTTCAAGAGGCGCTCTGGGCTTTTCAAGGCGGCATCTGATCTCTCCACTCTCACTGGCGCAAGGGTTGCGGTGGTGTTGGAGTCCGAACATGGGAAGTTTTCCTCTTTCGGCACCCCAGAGGCTAGCCCCATACTTGATGCTTTCCTTTTAGGGAGTGCACCAACTGATCTTGATACCAGTGAAGCAGAGAAGGCTTCAATTACCAACTTGCAGAATGAGGTGTTCCAACTGGAGAAAGACAAGACCATGGAGGATAAGAGGAAGAAGGAGAGCATGGCGCGGACCAACAAGAAGATCCAGGAGGCCTCAAAGATGGCCAAGTATGTTTATGGTAACATAGAGGATCTTGATGACACTGAGCTCTTTGACATGTATCGTGAGCTCTCACGAGTAAAGCAAGAGATCAATGATCGCTTGCCTACCTTGCTCCATGAGGACAAAGTAGAAGCCGGTGATCGTCTTAGAGATCCATCATTGCTGCAGCCCACTTGGTGGCGTTCCATGCCTCCTCCACAGGTTGCGACACCACCAAAGTATCCATGGACTCCCTTCCAAGCTTACTTCCAACAACATCCATGGTCGTCCACATCTGCATCAGTGCTAGCAAGGTCAGGCTCCTCGCTTCCAAACTCGGTGATCCTTCCATCACCGCAGGTACCACAAAATCCACTGCAACATTACTACCCTCTGGCACCACATACTCCTTCCACTTCCAGTGTGCAATTCCAAGCACCCAAGACGCCACCAGCGCCTATGGAAGCAGCCCACAACCCTTACAGCTATCACATCCGTGGGATAGACATCAATGGTAACAGCTCACACCCATTCTCATTATCACCTATACTGTCTTCATCGACGACACCCCAGCCATCATCGTTGCAAACAACTCCACCATCAGATGATTCATCACCTCTATCGTTGTCACCGCAAATTTCATCCCCGCTGCATCTAGGGTCGTCGTCCCAACAGCTTCCTTTCAGTTACAACACTGTGCAGCCACCTCAACACTATGCAAATGTTGGCTCAACTTCCATCCATTCTCATCAACTGTTCTATAGCAACTTATCATCACCTGAACTAAATATTGAGTTTGGAAACATCGATAAGAGTGGAGGCACCCAGGTTGGCGGTGGACACAATGAGAGATTTGGTTTGTCTAGCCCTCAACAAAGTGACGGCGGCTTTGACGGGGTGATGCCGAAGTCCTTTTCTGCTGGAGAAAGCTCTGGTGGTGGTCATGCAGGAGGCAATCTTGGTGGCCTCAAGTTCCCTTGGTACTAGTTCGTGCAAGAATTGTTGTAGTTGGTTTGTCGTGTCGTTTTCAGTAATTTCAATTAGCAACTTAGCTAGCTTGTCATTAGGCAAGTAAATGAGGTTTAGGTCGTTGTCGTCCAGTCAGTCTTCTTTTATTTGAGCACTGGTGCATGTATGGGTGTAGTATTGAGGGCCAACTCAGTTTGTTTCATGAGTTTGGTCCTTATTACATCTCTGCAATGCTTTTGAAATATTCCATGTTATTGATTATAAATGAATTGTTGGGTTGAGAATGAAACGATATTGTTTGTTTACTTAATGTCCGGGCCCATGTGTCCGGGATGGAGTCAGGAGTCTGCATACCGATCCGACTCTCAGAGCGCCAAACCAAACCTGTCCTAGAGATGCAAGACACTAGTAGATGCTCAATCGTCTCATCCACCGTTGAATTGTTGTGACAACATTTGGAATCCTCAGAAAAAAAAAACATTTGGAATCCTTGCAGGAGCCGGGTCTAAAATCGGTTGGAAATCTATCTCCGTGTGCAGGTAGATTACGGACAGTACAGATAGATTACGAGTCGTGGTTAACACGGACACCCATGTAGCCATGTACCACGTCGATATAAGATTCTCCTGAAATAAAACATCAAACTCGTTGAAACCCAATTCGCGATCCGACAGATCCAAGATTTCTCCGACCCGATCCCGATGGATGGTGCAGATCAGGAGCCAAGAGGCCACGGCCACCGTATTGACACGTCCCTGTTGCCGCTGAAGAAGAGGGCATCAACTACAGCAGTGGTCCTGGCAGAACCTTCAGCGGCGACCCGTACGCGTCTTCGCACAAGAAGAAACGGCTGGACGACGCCAATGCCCTTGCCGAGACGAAGGACACAGCCGGAGCCTCGGAGGCTCCAATTCCGCGCCAACAACGCCCCGTGCCAGCTCTGGCTTCACGGGAACCCGCAGCGGAACTCCCAGCGCCAGCAGCAGCGTCGCTGGAGCCCGCAGCGGAAGGCAACATTTGATATCATCGCACCCTCGCTACGGTTGCCTCTTGAAGATTTCTAAGGATCCGAGGGCATGTTCGCTTGGTCGTAAACGATCGTAAATTTTCAGCCAGAACAATATTTTTCTCTCACACCAAACCAACCAGCAGTAATAATCCACGATCGTATACGATCGTTTCAGCCCCAGCCGAACAGGCTGCGAGAGTCCAGTCCGGATACATATGCAATCCAGTTTGACTACAAGCCGGGTCTAAATTCTAAAATCGGTTGGAACTCTATCTCTGTGTGCAGGTAGATCACGGAGAGTAGAGATAGATTACGAGAAGTAGTAAACACGTAAACCATGTAGGCCATGTTCGCTTGTCTTATAATTCATACTTTTCGGCTTGTCTTTTCAGTAAGAACAGTATTTTTCTCTCACAACAAATCAGCCGGAACAGTGTTTCAACTTGTTTTTTCAGCGAAGCGAACGGGGCCGTAGTCATGTACCACCTCGATATATAAAAGATTTGCCTAAAATAACCCATCAAACTCGTTGAAATTAAACCCAATTCAAATAAAATCCACTAACACATGCAACTGCAATATCCACATCAGCAAGACAAATAAGCATTTTGTTGTCCACTTCAGCAAGACAAATAAGCATTTTCTTGTCCACGTCATCATACCACATATCCACTAATCCATAATTCCTGCGGTAACGCGCGGGGTATGCTTCTAGTATCTCTGTTGTTTTATGGTCTTCTTTAGTATATGTTGGTCTAGGACCGAACAAAGAGAGGAGAGAAAAAGTGAGAATGGAGCAACCGAATGAGGGGGGCCAACGAATGTGAGAATAGAGCAAATAAAAAGAGGGGCCATGCATTCCTTCCCCATGCCCTTGCCCCATTTTTTATAGGAGAGGAGGAAGGTGGTTTCTTATTATATTCCCTCGCTGGGGTTCATAATTACAAATGTGTCCTATTATCTACAATCAGACAATGTTGACAATTATGCCCTTATACCTAGTAATTAACTGGGCTTTTGTACACACTAGCAAAGTGTCCGTGCGTTGCAACGGAATCCAATACATTTAGAAATCGATCTTTGTGTCATTGCTAAACACAAGTTTTTCTAACTTGTATGAACATGGGTCATGAATCCGGGTCACATATACATAGGGCGTAACTCAATACGTATTTGAATCTGACTCTGTATTTATCATCGCTAGACGTGAGTTATCGTAACACATATGAGTATAGGTATAGATATCTTTATTACCATTTTTTTATCACGTGTACCTAAATTTTCTTCGATAAAACATGCTCCGAAGTTATTTCCCATATCTTAGTTTCCATATTTTTGGGGTTTAGAATAGAAATAACTTTACCTTAGTTTTATTAATAATTAAATTAAAACAGTGTACTTCGATAGTTCGAATGCGAGGATGTCTCTTGTGTGGGCTTTCGAGCAATGCAATGGGAGCGAGGTTGGAGACCTATTATCTATAGATCGTGCACAGATTCTTAAAATTAATAATAACAAAATTAAATGATCAAGCATTTTTTCGAAGATAGTATGATTCAATTTTATCTCGACCACGTGAGTTGGTAATCTCTCCGTTCTAAATTACTTTCTTAGTCCAAAAAGAATGCACTCTGACCAAAGTTATTAAAAAGGTACTAAAATTTAGGATATAAAATAAATACTATTTTTTTGTGAATAAATAAAATAAATTCTACTAGATTAATTATGGAATGTATTTTTAATACATAATTTTTTGTTATGTACTTAGATATGTACTATATTGTATTTAAAAAATCAAAACATCAGGGAGGAAGTATGACAATTTGCTTATAAATTTGAACATAAACAAAGTTGAGTTGAATCTCCATATAGGCTAGTGAAGAAGAATGGTAAAAAAAAATACTCTACTGTGAAATCTGGTCCGGACGTCCGGTCACAAGGCAAACCTCAGTGGTGGGTCCCCCTATCTCGTTGGGGCCTTAGATCCGTTCCCTGAGCCTCCATCACCGTGGCTGGTTCGGCCCCGCGCCTACTACGTGCCTCCTCTCGACACCGCCCCTCGATTTGCTGAAGATGTATTCAAGAAGGACTCTGGTTCTGATCCGGCTCTTATTAAGATTTCTGTTCAGGTTTTGATATAAAAAAAACAGGAGAGGAGTAGGCGTCGATGGGGAAGATTTATTATTGCCCCAACACGATCCCGATGGACACTGCAGATCGGGAGTTTGGAGGCCACGGCCACGGTATTGAGACGTCGCTGTGGCCGCTAAAGAAGAGGGCATCCAACTATAGCAGTGGCAGAATCTCCGCCGACGACCCGTCGCCGTCTAAGAAGAAACGGATGGCGGATAACAGTGTCGTTGGTGCCGAGACCAAGGACACCACCGGAGCCTTGGAGGCTCGAGTTCCGCGTCAACGGCACTCCGTGCCAGCGCCAGCTATAGCTTCACGGGAAGCCGCAGCGGATCTCCCAGCGCCAGCAGCAGCTTCGGCGGAGCCCGCAGCGGAAGGCAACGACTTGTCCGAGTCCGACGAAGAGAAAAAGCGGTTGAGCAAGGGAAAGTGTCTAGCCAGGGAAGAGAGCAGCCGCAGCCTGGTTACGGTTACGCCGCAGCCGCCGGTGAAGAAGCTGATGCACGATGGGATCCGTAGCTTCGTCCCCCTCCCCCAGCAGTTGCGCGATGAACACCGTCATGCCGCCGCCGCCACCGCCGCCGCCGAGGCGGACGACGACGTGCCGTTGCCGTTGCACGGGTCCCCCGCCCTGAGCTCGGCGCTGAAGCGGCGCCTCGCGGAGCTGGGCGCCACGCGGCCGTGGCTGGTGCACAGCAAGACCCTCCACAAGAGCGACGTAGACGAGAACCAGAACCGGCTGCTGGTGTCGTGCAAGCGCGGGAGCGGGACGGAGGACTGCCCCATCACCCGGTGCTTCTCGCCCGCCGAGCTGGAGCGCGTGAACAAGAAGCACGCCGGGCTGGCGGTCACGGCCCTGGACCGGGACGGCGTCCCGTACGCGCTCACCTGCAAGTTCCTCGACTCCAACAACGGCTACCGGTTCATCTCCGAGTGGAAGCACTTCCTCATCCGGAACGGCATGAACCTGGACTCCCAGAGGCACAAGGTCTGGACGCGCGACGTGGAGGTGGAGCTGTGGGCGTTCCGGTCGCGCCAGCTGCCGTTCCAGCCTCAGCTCGACGCCCACGGTAATGACCAAAGACGAGGACGGCAAGAAGGTTACGGTCGTCCAGCGGGTATGCCACCACTTGGATGCGGACGGCGCCCTCGGCCTTCTCCTGCTGCACCACGAGAACAGGAGACGACGCGTCAAGAGCGAGGAGAAGGAGGAGGACGACGATTGGGAGGGGCCATCGTCGCCGCCGTCGGTGGCCCGTAAGAAGGGCAAGCAACAAAGTGGCAAGCGGGGCGCGTCGGGGTCGGCGTCACCGGTGGCGCTTCCCGCACCGGTTGCGGAGCAGGGAGAGGCGAGGCGGTCGACGTTCTATGCTGCGGTCGGACTGGCAAAGCTACGGCGGGCCATTTGGGAACGGTGGCAGGAACACGCCGACCAAGGACATGGCGCTAAGGGATCCAACGACGACGTGGCTAAATCGCGAGCAGACGTGGATAGAGAGAAGATTGATAATAAAAAATAAAAAAGCATGGGAATGCACAGCATAAAAGAACGGGGGGCAAGTAGTCAGAGACTGTTGATTCGTTGGGCAACATGCGAGCTAATCTGATGTCAACTGCTATTTCGACAAGAAGGGTGAGGGGTGATGCGTCCCCGTTTGTATAGAGCGAATGGTACGATTTATATGTATATATTAGAATTAAATTTTATTTCAATTTCAGTCCCAGATTCTTAAAAACTGTCCTTACCATCCCAAAGCTCTATTACACTGTTGGTAATGCTCTAAACCGAACATCGGTTCGTCCAGACGCTTTATTACTTGGCCCACAGATCGTAGCGGCGTTCCCCCCGTTCCCGGAATCGCGGAACGGGGACGACGCGGTACAGAACGTGGCTGAGTCGAGAACCAAAATAAACCGGATCATCAAGAGAAAGAGAAAGAAACAAATATCTAAATCGCCATTCTCACGGAGAACAAGCTTATGAGTGACTTCATCCGACGGCGGCACAGCGTCGGACGGCGGTGGCGGTGGACGGCGGCCGCGGCGCGGTGCAGTGGTCGTGGTCCTGGTCCTGGTCGGCAGCGGTTGCTGGTTTCCACGGAGGCAACGACTGAATGTGATAGAGCTGGAGTGCCCGATTCTTCGGTGAGTGGAGGATAACTACGATTTGGTGGGTGTCGATCCTCGCGATCCGACTACGACGAACAAGTCCGTGGCGTCTTAGCAATCGCTGAACCAACTCCCGATGGTTATTGACCTTGCTGGTGCTAGATCAACCTGATCACGAAGATCAATTCCTGCTAACAATCGAAGAACAAGCAAGAATTTGAGGCGAGCAACCCTGAATATTACTCGAAGGTGGGGTTCCGAATTACACGAAGACGAAGCTTCGGAAGTAGCAATGGCTAACTTAAGCAAAACAAAACCTTAGCAACAGAGGGGGCGCAGCACCTGGCTAAATAGGGAGAGGAGGCGTGATGAAGGTAGGCGCCCAGCCTGCCCACTAGGCAGGAAATAGGCGTCCAAACAACTATACGCCATCTCCTTAATCCCCTTTCCTGATTTAGGTGGCGCAGCACCTTCCTGGTTATTTCTTGACAAAACTAAAAAAACACATAGGTGGTGCAGCACCTAGACATTATTATAGCTAGGTTTATCATGAGCATAGATGGCGCATGCACTTAGGAAACTTCTGGTCCTTCATTCTTCAAAATCATCACGAAGTTTAATTCACGTGCACGAGCTCGAGTGAGTGGTCCTGGTGGCGCATATGCTGGTTCAGTTGGAGTAGCCATTCCTGTGTCGGGGTTGATGTCCTCATCATCCTCCCCTTCTTGAATCGAAGTTGTCCTCGACGGCACCTCCTCAGCCTCGCCCACATATGGTTTCAAATCTGCAACATTAAAACTAGAGAAAACACCATAGTCTCAGACAGGTCAAGTATATAAGCATTATCATTAATTTTCTTTAACACCTTGAAGGGACCAGCAGCACGGGGCATCAGCTTAGACCTGCGCAAACTAGGAAAGCGATCCTTGCGTAAATGCAACCAAACCAAGTCACCAGGTTCAAAAGTAACAAGTTTACGTCCTTTACTATCAACAGCCTGATTTTTAACATTAGTGTGCGCAATGTTCTACTGCGTTTGCTCATGGATGTCCAACATTTGTTTAACACGTGCAACAACATCTACATGTGGGGCGTCCAAAGGATCAAAGGACAGCAAGTCAATTGGCGCCTATGGAATGTAACCATAGACAACCTGAAAAGGGCACATTTTCGTGGAGGAATGTGTAGCACGATTGTAAGCAAACTCGACATGGGGCAAACAATCCTCCCAAAGTTTCGTTCTTGTCTAACACAGCCCTAAGCATGGTAGATAAGGTTACATTCACAACCTCGGTTGTCCATCTATTTGTGGGTGACAAGTGGTGCTTGAAAAGCAATTTAGTTCCTAGTTTATTCCAAAGAGATCTCCAAAATAACTTAGGAACTTAGCATCGCGATCTGAGACTATTGTATTTGGAACACCATGTAAACGAATAATCTCATGAAAGAACAACTCAAAGAACGCCGCTAGCATCATCGGTTTTATGACATGGTATGAAGTGAGCTATTTTAGAGAATCGATCAACAACCACAAAGATACTATCCATCCCTTCTTAGTTCGAGGTAAGCCCAAAACAAAATCCATAGAAATATCTAGCCAAGGAGAAGTAGGGACAGTAACGGCATATACAAACCGTGGTTGTTTAGGTGTGACTTAGCTTTACGCACGTGGTGCGGCGTGCCACAAAACGCCCACGTCATGGCGCATCTGGGGCCAAAAGAAGTGTGCGGCCAAAATCTCCTGTGTCTTGTAAACGCCAAAGTGTCCCATGAGGCCGCCACCATGCGCTTCTGCAAGCACAAAAAAAGACGAACCGAGCTTGTGGGAATACATAGCTTGTTAGCGCGAACAAGAACCCATCGGTTACATGGAATTTACCCCATGGTTTACCATCCTTGCAATGCATCATGATGTCCTTAAAGCCGGGATCATCGGCGTATTGTTCTTTCACGGTTTGTAAACCAAAAATTTTAAAGTCTAACTGGACACAGACATGGTGTATCTACGGCGACAAAGCATCAAATAATAATGTTGCCTTTCCCATTCTTGTGTTTGATGATGTAAGGAAAAGACTATGAATTCGACCCACTTAGCATGCCGACGGTTCAGATTAGTTTGGCTACGAATATGTTTTAATGCCTCATGATCAGAATGAATTATAAACTCGTAAGGCCAAAGATAGTGCTGCCATGTTTGAAGTGTGCGAACCAAAGCGAAAAGCTCCTTATCATAAGTTGAATAATTCAGACTAGCACCGCTTAATTTTTTTCGCTAAAGTAAGCAACTGGCTTGCCCTCTTGCAACAAAACACCGCCTAAGCCAATACCACTAGTATCGCATTCAAGTTTAAACATCTTATTGAAATCGGTAGCTCAGTAGTAAGGGGCATGTGTCAACTTATCTTTTAGAATGGTGAATGCCTCGTCTGTGCACACCCCGGAGAAAAAGGCCGCCTCTTGGTGAGCTCATGCAACGGGCGGCAATGGAGCTGAAGTCACGCACGAACCGTCGGTAGAAAACTACAAGCCCAAGAAAACTCCAAATCTGCGTAACCGTCATCGGCGTGGGCCAGCTCTAGATGGCGTCAATCTTGCTGATGTCCACTTCAATGCCCTGCGGAGTAACAACATAGCCAAGAAACGAAACACGTTGTGTGCAGAAGTCGCACTTGTCCAAGTTACCAAACAAGCAGGCAGCGCGTAAAGCATAAAAAATAGCATGCAAATGTTCCAAATGCTCTTTCATAGACTTGTTGTAAATTAGAATATCATCAAAATAAACAACCACAAACAATCCTATGAAAGGCCTCAAAACTTCATTCATTAAGCGCATAAATGTGCTGGGAGCATTAGTCAATCCAAACAGCATAACTAACCATTCATATAAGCCAAATTTTGTTTTAAAAGTCATTTTCCATTCATCCCCAAGTTTCATTCTAATCTGATGGTACCCGCTACGCAAATCTACCTTGGAGAATATAATAGCACCGCTAAGCTTGTCAAGCATATCATCAAGGCGAGGTATAGGATAACGATAACGAATTGTGATATTGTTAATCGCTCGACAATCTACACACATGCGCCAGGTACCATCTTTCTTTAGGACAAGTAGTACAGGAACAGAGCAAGGGCTAAGAGACTCACGAATGTAGCCCTTATCAAGTAGCGTTTGGACTTGGCGCTGAATCTCCTTTGTCTCATCGGGATTGGTACGGTACGAGCGTGGTTGGGAAGCTGGGCGCCCGGGATGAGGTCACTCTGGTGCTCAATGCCACGAATGGGAGGAAGATCTAGTGGTAATTCCTTCGGAAATACATCGGCAAAGTCTTGCAAAAGCTTAGTAACAGTAGGGGGTATATCCAAAGATGGTGCATCATCGAGTGAAACCAGCACATGAGAACATACAAGCGCATAGCAAGGCATATTATCAACATGTAGTTCATCAAAATCAGCACGCGTAGCAAGTAAAATAGGAGCATGTAGCTTAATCTCTTTAGACGCGGCTGTTTGTTGTTGGCATTGTTTTAATGCTTTAGTAGCCCGAGCAATGTCATCTTTCACAATCTGTTCAGGGGTCATTGGATGAAGAATAATTTTCTTGCCCTTAAACAGTAATGAATAATGATTTGTGCGACCATGATGTAAACAATCAGTATCATATTGCCAGGGCCTACCAAGCAACAACGAACATGCCTCCATAGGAACAACATCGCAATCAAGATAATCGTAATAAGAACCCATGGAGAAGTGAACACGTGCGAAAGCGTGTTACCTTGAGTTTGCCACCTGGTTGAGCCCATTGAATGTGGTAGGGATGTGGATGTGGGCGCGTTTGAGAGACAACTTCTCCACCAGATCCGAACTTGCCAAATTGTTGCAACTACCGGCTGTCAATGATGATGCGAATGGATCGTTCTTGCACAATGCCTTTGGTGTGGAACAAAGTGTGGCGCCGGTTCTCGCTTTCGGATCAGTGCAACTTGTGTATTGAGGACTCATTGCACAACAAGACTCTCATACTTGTCGCCGTCGATGGCAAGCGCACGTGTTCTTCCGCATGTCCTGAAACGCGTCGGCAACAAGCATAGCATATATAGTTTCATCGGAATCACTAGCGGAAGAATACTCACCATCGCCACGTATAATCAACGTCACGCTTGTTGGGGCGATCCCGTATCACATGCCCATAACCTTTGCAATGATGGCATTGAATGTCCTTTGTGCGGCTAGTGGAAGAGGAGGCGCTCTTATTAGCTGAAAGGGGCGTTGGAGGTGGAGCTGCTGCCTTGTCACGTGACATACTGCTAGGTGGGGAGGGCGTCGTAGGGGCTGAATGGGTCAAAGTAGTGCGACCTGCAAAAGAGTTAGAATGGGTCCTTGCTCGTCGTCCCTGCACTTCACGTTCAGCTTTGCAAGCAAATGCAAACAAAGTAGTAATATCATTATAGTGCTTATAATCAAGAATATCCTAAATTTCACGGTTCAAACCACCACGAAATCGTGCCATCGCAGCATCATTAGTCTCAACTAAACCACAACGAATCATGCCGGTTTGCAACTCCTGATAATACTCTTCTACAGATTTGGTTCTTTGCTGAAAACGCTGTATTTTATTAAGCAAGTCTCGTGCATAATAGGAAGGAACAAATCGGTGTCGCATGATAGTTTTTAATTGCTCCCAAGTTGTGGGAATGTTATTAGGGTGTTTGTTGCGATGCTCACGCCACCAAATGGATGCGAAATCTGTAAACTCACTAGTAGCAGCCCTAACTTGATATTGTGCAGGAACATCATGACAATGAAATTTCTGATCTACCGTAAGTTCACAATCAAGATACGCACCCGGATCATATTTGCCATTAAATGAAGGAATCTTGAACTTAATCTTAGTAAATGAGTCGTTTCAATTACGTACCACGCGCTCACCACGGCGGTTGCGGTGGCGCCCTCCATGGCGGTCCTGGTCGTCGATCTCGGTATCGCCACCATAATCAAATTCCGCCGTTGTTGATCGCCAAGTTGTTGTACCAACTCATCAAGGCGTGTAGTGAGCGTGGCAAGGCCGGGTGGCGTGGGCGACTTGTGCTTGTCTTTGCATCTCCGCGAAAGCGTAGCATTTGTGGCAATTTGAGTGTCCTGAAATTGACCCACTTGCTCGTTGGCAATCCTAATCTCCTCTCGCCAAGCCCTCCACGTGCTCGCTCATCTTGCGATTGAAGTGGTGAATAATGCCTTTAGTGCGTGGGGACCGAGGCATGACGTCCTAATCACCGGCTCCCCTGTCATTGTTAGTGGAAAAACAACGAACACGAAAACAAGTATGTGCCCTAAAGCTTATAGGATGTGGTCTTTGATCAAGGCACGCAAAACTAAAGTCTGTTATTAAACTCTTACCCGTTCTTACCAAGCTCAGGGGGGTAACTTGCAACCAGCGGTACAACCTTCCAAAGATTGAATGGAGCGATTGCGGAGGACACAGAGCTTGATCGTAGAGAAAATTTATGGAGTTCTAGGAAGGCTGCACTCAATTGCAAGGGTTAGCACAATCAAACAAAGAATGCAAGGTTGAATAATAGTGATAAACACGTCGCTATGTTCTTTGGAAACAAGTGTAAACGTGCAAAGGCAACAAAGGTGGGGGCGCCCAAGGGGAGGGCGCCTGGTGTGTTCCCCTGTCCAGAGAGGAAGACCATCGCCCAAATCGGGGTGGCTCACAACAAATGAATTCTTCTTTCCAAAACTTGACAATCTGAAATAAGGAAGAATATTGCACCAAATCCCAAAACAGGGGAAGGGGTGGCGCCCAACAGGGAAAAGACCCCCCCAAATATAATTCTGTTGCCTTGTATGGTGCGGATTTTCCTTTCCTTCTTTTTTGCTTTCCTTGTTTTTTTAATATATTGGCACCTTGCCTTTTTTTTTTTGTTTGGATACTTTCCTTTGGTGCACAAACAAAACTTGCCTTTAACCGAACCAAGGCAAACTTTCCAAAATGTGGCGGAGGGGGGGGGCCGGAAGGGAAACCGTGGTAGGGAGAGGGTGCACCGGGAGGGGGAAGATGGTGAAGAGGGCGGTGGTGGTGGTGGTGGACAAAAACGACGATGAAAAACAACGGCGATTTAACACAAAGTGACCAAACTATTGACGCAAAAGCACACAAATTCAACAACGCAAATTACTTGAATGAAATGTGCAAGGCTCAAAAGGTGCTGGGACAAAGGTCGAACCTGATTGTTGTTTTGGTTTTGTGGACAATAGGACGATGAACAATCTAGAAACTAAAGGATAAACTCGATAAAACTCACCGATCAACCTGATCTTTGATACCACTTGATAGAGCTGGAGTGCCCAATCCTTCGGTGAGTGGAGGATAACTACGATTCGGTGGGTGTCGACCCTCGCGATCCGACTACGACGAACAAGTCTGTGGCACCTTAGCAATCGCTGAACCAACTCCCGATGGTTATTGACTTTGCTGGTGCTAGATCAACCTGATCACGAAGATCAATTCTTGCTGGCAATCGAAGAACAAGCAAGAATTTGAGGTGAGCAACCCTGAATATTACTCGAAGGTGGGGTTCCGAATTACATGAAGACGAAGCTTCGGAAGTAGCAATGACTAACTTAAGCAAAACAAAACCCGAGCAACAGAGGGGGCGCAGCCCCTGGCTAAATAGGAGGAGGAGGCGTGAGGAAGGTAGGCGCCCAGCCTGCCCACTAGGCATGGAATAGGCGTCCAAACAGCTACACGCCATCTCCTTGATCCCTTTTCCTGATTTAGGTGGCGCAGCACCTTCCTGGTTATTTCTTGACAAAACTAAAAAAAACACATAGGTGGCGCAGCACCTAGACATTATTCTAGCCAGGTTCATCATGAGCATAGATGGCGCATGCACTTAGGAAACTTCTGGTCCTTCATTTTTCAAAATCATCACGAAGTTTAATTCACGTGCACGAGCTCGAGTGAGTGGTTCTGGTGACGCCTGTGCTGGTTCAGTTGGAGTAGCCATTCCCGTGTCGGGGTTGATGTCCTCATCAGAATGAGCCAGCAGACACCTAACGTGAAAGGGCTGGAGGCCCAGTGTGAAATAGCAATGGCTCAATGTGATTGCGTCAAAAAGCAGTGGCTCATTCCCCTAAAAAGAGTGGATCGTGCTTCCTGTACGCAGAAGTTTATTCTGGGGTGGAGAAAACTGGTGATGCAATTGCTCATTTTTTACTGAAAGCAATTGATGATATAGGACCCACGATCACATCCTCGTTTCATAGCTACGTTCGGGATACATCGTCCCAATTATCCAGGGACCATAATCCCATCCTCGAACCAAACATCCCGAGAGGTATACCCCCTACGAACCGGGATCTTAGAATTGTCGATCCACATCCCATGTACCGCGTTCCTCGTACCTACGTACCAGGAACCTTTTGTGACTATGGCTAGGCCACGACGCCAACCAAACAACCCACGCTTTGTTTCTCAAAAAAAATGTCAATCCACTTATTCATATCCACTCGTTCCTCTTCATATCATTCTTATCCGCTCGCCTGTCGCCTTTGAGCGCACGACCGCTGGCCCTCCGAGGCGCAGCACGTGGCCACCTCCGAGGCGCATCGCTCGGGCGCTGGCCTTGCCAAGCACGGCACGCGGCCGCCTCCGAGTCATGGCGTGTTGCTGCCGTCCCTGCCAGGCGCGGCGTGCTGCTGCCCTCTCCAAGTCGCGCGCTAGCGGCTTCCCCGCCGCTCGTGCAGCCGATGCCTCCATTCCGCGACATGCAACCTCTACCGCCGGGCCGCTGTCTCCGATGAACACCACACACCGACGAGCCTCCATTCTGCCGAGCAGCAAGGAGATGTTGCGTTAAAAGCACATGTTGCAAGAGTATGTTTCAATTATTTCAGATGTTTCAGAGGTATGTTGCAAGTGTTTCATATGGATGTTGCGAAAATAGATCATGATGTTGCACATATTGCAATAGTTGTACACGTATGTTGTAAGCGTCCGTTCCAAATGTTCCATCTGCTTTTTCATACGTATGTTATAAGTGTGTTTATTTAGATATTGCATATATTTTCACACATATGTTGCAAGAGTATGTTCGAAATATTTCAGTTGTTTCAGTCTTATGTTATAATAAGTGTCTTTATATTGCAAGTTACAAGTGTTTATCTGGATGTTGCATATGTTTTATACACATATTACAAATGTATGTTCTAAATGTTTCATCTGCTTGAGACTTATGTTGCATTCAGGTGTTTCATGTTGCCAGTGTTTTGTGTTTCAGATATATGTTCAGAGAGTCATGGGGGTACGGTTCAGGTGCTGGGGGAAGGGGCACAACGAGCCTGGGGCCGGCGGATGGGGAGCGCTGCGCGCCTGGGGTCCTGCGGACGGGGCGTGCTCATCCTCATCCTGGGTCCTGCCCGTGCGGAGAGAGAGAGGAGAGGGTCAGGGGGAAGGAGCAGCGGACGTGGGGCAGAGCAAGACGGACAGGGGCAGGGTACGCGTGCATTGCGGGACGAGGTAGACGGGGAAGGACTGCTGCGATATGATTGGAGTGCGGCGCATTTCGATCTGCTAGGCTATTCGGTACCGTCTGATGGAATCATATCTCATCGAACATCCAGGCGCCTGCAATTCCCATTACACCATTCATGTTCCTCGTTCCCATGTAAACCACGATGCCAATATTCACTCCACTCTCCGTTCATAAATTATGTTCCTTCCTCATCTTTGTGATAACGCATATATAATTGACTCCATTACTAAAACAGCACTCACCGAGATTTCAGGTTACCAGCCAGCAACGAGCCTAAAGCCCTAAAGTAGATGGTTACTGCCATAGTGGCATAGTGCCATGTAACCTCAGACGACTGGAAAACACAGCGAATTCTGATTTATTATTCACCTCAAGCAGTTAAACACATAATAGACTACGAATTCTGATTTATTATTCACCTCAAGCAGTGGAACACAGAATGGACTACAAAACAGACTCTTGACACCTATCGATCACAGTACTTGTTTGGCTGCTGTAATTCAATTTCGGAGGCTCCTCAATTCTACGTGTAAGAAAGATGTATACTTGGAAAAATTACATCAATGTTCAATCAACATGGAAGCGATTCCACATAGAAAATTGTGTGTATTCCTGACTGGTACAAGCATATAGATGTAAATAACCCTATACAGTTATCGTGAAGAAATAGAGTTTCAGCAAAACAGCAAGCCCCAACTGCAACAAGAATATCCCTGCAACGATCAGGAACCATCGCTCACCAGAATTTACAATGTGCGCACGGAGATTTACAGCAACGAAGGTAGCAGACATGAAACCAGCAACACCAGCAATCACCCATCTGAATATTTCTATTGGCACAATAGACAGGAGCTGTCATGCAAAAGGAGAAAGAACTTTCAGTCAACTTCTAATGCTAAAGCAGTGTAGAAATGCTCCAAATCATTTTAACAGGTAATATACTAGTGTTTCGTCAACAGAGAATCAATAAATGACAGATATAGCTTATATGGAAGTAAAAATAGTCCCTCTGATTGCAAATATGAGCCATCCTAGGGTCCATGCCAGTAAAACATTTTTTTTTATTTTGACAATGATCCATAGAAAAATATTTGTCCATATGAAACCGGTATCACTAGATTCATCATGTTGTAAAACCATGTAACTACAATTATAGTAGTAAAAGGGTACCTAGCAAACAAATAATATTGGTAAATGGTGGTAGTAATGACCCTTGGAATTGATTGATTTCATTTTCATACAAAAGCATTGCAAATTATTTAAACTCAAGCTTGCTGATTGCTTTACAGGTGTTAGAATCCAGTGAGCATTTCCCATAGAAAAGGCCAAATCTCAAGCAACTTTAACAATAGGCCATAGTGGCACACAATTGTAAACTAAAAGAATTGTAATTCCTAAGTATATGTGCATTTTAGTAAGAACCTTACCGATGCTGGAATGAAGATGAACAGAGAGTATCCGTATAGGCACCACAGTTGCACCAGACCAGCAGGTGCTGAGAAGTACTTGAGAATAACATATAAAAGAAGAGGAACAAACGTCACGTAGCCATAGAATAAGCCAGCAGACCAGGTAACCAAGTTGATATCATAGTTCCATTCCTTCTTGTGCCATTTGTGAGAAAGGTAGGTGACAAAAGTAGCAATAGATGCAGCAACAAAAATCAGGGTGGTGCATGTCCAAAATGGCCCATACCTACAGAATATAAAAATGAAACAGAAGGCATAGCAGATCAGTAGCAAATTACAAAGAATTAATCATTCAGACAAATATAAAATCTTCCAGGTGACTCACATTCGCCAAGTTCTCTGTACTATTATCCCATTGTTAGTTACAAAGTTATTAAACTATTGTTCATATGTCCTAAATTGAAATGGTTGATAGTAGAATTGTTCTTTTCAGAAAGAAGCATTCAATGCAACTTCACAGGCATATTCTACTTTGATGTAGATCCACTACAGGTGACCAGACACAACATAGAGAAACAACAATTTGATTGCAAATGAACATAATGCCTTCAAAAGGATGTCATAAATTTGTATTTCAACCCAATAGCAAGTGTAAATACTAATAGCTAGTTCACACTTGCTATTTGCTGAAATAAACTCTGCAGAAACTCACGTAGAAAGGGCTCTGACATTGCAACCATCTTAAAATCTTAAAACAAACTCAAAGAATCATATCAGCAATCTTCAATGCTAGACAGCAATAATTGTTCCAAGGATCAGTTCGACCAAAAACCAACAGATCCCGCTCAAAAAGAAACTAAGCATTTGGAACAATCCAGCTATCAGTGCGCAGAACCAGAGACGTGAATGCATAAACTACATGACCAACACCTTCCAGCCAAAGCAAACAGGTCCACATTCAACACCGAGGTGCAATTTAACCTATGAATAATAGCCAGCATATTATTAACAAAAACTCGCAATGATCTATCGCATCTGCCACGTTTCAGTAATGCAGCAAAATTGAGTTATGCTACGTTCTCTGTAAGGGGAACTGATTGAAAAGCATACAGGTCAGGGCTCTCGGAGGTCTTCTCGGTAAACGTGCCGCGGAAGGGGAAGACGGACTCCCAGATCCTCTCGACAACGTCGGAAGTGTCAACGTCGAAGTAGGGCTTGTACGCCGCCACGGAGAACATGCGGAACCAGCCGCCCTGCGCGGCATCATCTGACCCGGCACTGCCGCCTCTGCCACCGCTTCCGGCTCCTCCGCCCTTGGACGAGAAGGTGTCTGCGCAAAAAAGGCCACCGCGGCCAGGTCAGTGAGTCGGATCCGAAGAGAAACGTGAAGAGCACGGGAGCTGAGGCCGCGAGATCTGACCGTCGGCGTCGGTGGGCGGGCGGTAGGCGCCAGCGATCTTGCCCCTGGCCTCGGACGGCGGGAAGGTCTGGAGGTTGGAGTCGGCGAACCTGATGGCCGGTGGATCTGTCCCCGTGGCCGCCTGCGTGGTGTGGCAAGAGAGAGATAGTGATGCCGGCTGTGTGCCGCGCGAGAGGAGGGAGACTGGCAGAAAGGGCGGTTGCATACCGGGACGGATCCGGAGGCCTTGGGGTCGTCGAGGGCGGAGTACCCACCGCCGGACATCATCTTCGCCGGCCACGGCAGACGGCGGTGACGGAGCTGTGCTTCGCGGCGAGCAGGGGTGAGAAGAGAGTCAGGCCGGCCGCGTGAAGGAGGGGAGAGCGGATGGTTTATGCGGGATCTGGCTGCGGCTTCCGCTTCTCGTTGGATTGTACCCAACCGGGCCCACTTGGCGCGCTCTGTCTACGTGAAACGTGTCGGCGCGGGCGGTTGCTTTACGGGAGATGAAAGTGCTCACCGTCGTGTTGCTCTAAGCAGAAATTATTAGATCGACAAGATCACACACCCACAACTTTCGTTTCTTTCATGCAATCCATGTGTTTTTTTTCGAATTAAAAACATAAATACGTGCACCATCTACTCTCTCCATGTTGGTAAAAGAATTCGTTTTAGACAAGATTTAGGTTAAATTATAAATAACTTTTAAGTTGTTGAGTCTGAAAATATGAAAACCACATAAATAGACTTGTCTTTAAAAATATTTTGATAAAAATATACATATATCACTTTTCAAAAAATATTTTTATAAAAATAACAAGTTAAAGTTATGCTTTGGAGACTGTGTCGCTGTTTAAAACAACTTCTTTTACCAACGTGGAGGGAGTAATTTCTATGACTTCGGGCAAACCAAATATATGTTCTTTTTTATGGAGTTAGCATCATGTTCTAATAACTTGTATAATGAGATGATTTGTGTTCAAAGACTATACCAACGCTATAATTTTAAATTGTCTGGGCGAAAAGGACCTTAAATGAGGAAGGATATTTTGTTGGACTCAACGACGCCTCTCCGAAAACATATTATCCTATCTTATAAGATGTTACATTATAAATTGGTTTAAGAGGTTATCTGACCTAGGCAAAAGGCGGACTTGTTAGCGCCCGGACGTCCAATCCGGGTGCTAGCGTCCGGACGCTGCCACACAGGGAGCCAGCGAATGCCTAGCGCATCGGGCTCACGAAGGAGAGCACCAACAGTGGGCTTGCATCGCCTCGGACGTCGCCCACGTCACCGGTTGCTTCCAACACGCATCCCGTGTGTAACACCCGATCTACTTTTGAAACATCTAGTTGCAACCGTTGCAACATACAAAAGAAGACAGATGAAACACTTGAAACAAGCGTCTAAAATACTTGCGAAAACGCCTGAACAACATTGCAAACATATGCAAAATCCAGATGAAACACTTGCAAACATACGTATGAAACACCTGAATAACACTTGAAAACATATGCTTGCAACATGCATGTATATGCAACATCCAGATCTACTTTTCCAACATCTAGATAAAACACTTGCAACATTTGTCTGAAACAGATGAAACATTTGAAATATACACTTAAAACATACGTGTATATCCATTACAATATGTGCAGCATTCTGATCTACTTTTGCAACACCGATATGCAACATTTGCAACATACTTCTGAAAATATTTAAAACACTTGAAACATGCTATTGCAACATGCATTTTCAGCGTAGCATCTTCTTGCTACTTGGACGAATGGAGCATCGTCAACACGGAGCTCGACGCCGGAGCAGAGCTCGATGTCGTGGAGTGGCGCGGAGGTCGCCGGTGTGGAGCTCGTCGACGGCACGGACCTCGGTAGGGGCAGGGGCGGGCGGATGGAGCGCAGCCATGACGGGAGGCGCGAGTCTGGGAGCGAGTGAGCGCCTAGTGCGTCGGGCTCGCCGTGCGCGGTGCAGGCGGGCGGCGGGGGCGTGAGCGGGGGCGGCGCGAGCAAGGGTGGGGTCCATCCTACGAGCAGAGCGAGCGAGCGACACGGGCGGGAGCGAGGACGGGGTCCGTCCAGATGGACGAACGATCTATAAGGAGAGTTTCGGTAATATGAAGGTGAGAGGTTGGGAAAAGCAACAAAATTTGATGCTTATGTGGCGGGGTTAGAACCAACTATCATATCATTTTTATCTATTCCATGTCTCAATTTCTATGGAGTTGCGTAAGAGATGTCATCCGATGGGATTGTTTCCCAACCAACTTCCTCAACTGATCTATGGGTTTTTGAATCCCTTACTAAATCTTGTCTAGCTTCACTCTGCAAGAAAATATAGGATGGATGAGTGTTTGGTTGCCTAAGAGCTTATGCTGGCAAGCAAAATCCTAGCCACAGTCGGAGAGCGAATTTTGCTTGCTCAGCAAGTTCTTAGAGTCTACACCTGGGAGCCAAGGCTAGCCGACCTTTGGAACTAAACGCACCCTTGACCTATGAGCAAGTTGGTTAAGCAGAACCTCAGGAGTCCCTCGGCGAGTAAGCCTTTTTTTTTTGGCTCAGACCCGATCGAGAAAAAGTAAGCCTTTTTTTTGCAGGTTTTGTTTGCATTTGACAATGGCGAGATTTGATTCTACTATCAGCCTGTTCGCTTGTTGGTTTCAGCCAGGGTTTATCAGCCAGCCAACAGTATTTTTCCTCTCACAACAAAGCAGCATCAGCCGAGCTTATCAGCCTAGAAACCAACCAGCGAACAGGCCGTATAAAGGATAGTTTGTTCTTGTTCTCTTTGGTTAACTAGCATCCCCAGCATAAAATTGTAGAACCCTTTATTGTTTTCTAGAAAAGCAGAGTTATCCCCTTTTCTAAAAACATGGGCACTAAGTGTCATGTGCTCAAAATGTTTCCGACTGGATCATGCCTCATGGCAACAGACACCGGTGTATTAGGGCAATTAGAGCATCTTCAGCAGTTCCCTTATCTAATCCCTCATCCTCATAGACATGTTATATTGAGGGAAATGTGACTGTTTTCTTGCTCCATCAGCTCCCTACTAGCTCTTTTTTTTTTGGCTACCAAAAAAACACCTCTTCTTCCCTCAAATAAAGAGAGAGTTGGAGCTTCCCCAATAGAGTGGACCCACCTAACTATCACTCTCCCCTCGGCACAGCAGGGGGCAAGGAGGTCACGGCGGGGAAGAAGGTCGCCATGCCTGGAAGGATGTTGTCCCGCGAGGGAGGAGGTACCGCGATAGTGAAGGAGATCGTGGGGAGGAAATGACGAGAAGCACGCGGAAGGAGGAGGTCGCGGCAGGGAAGGAGATTGTTGGGAGGGAAGGACTAGAAGCACGCGGAAGGAGATCACGAGCAGAGAAGGCATGGAAGACGAGAAGATCCTAACATGACATGCAATGCCCACATGTAAGTGTATTAAGGTTGATGTAAGTGTATTAGGGTTGATGTATTGGTGATCAGCATCTTTTTCAAAAATCGAAGAAAGTCACCAATACTACCATGTTGGGATGGATTATCGGTGAGTTGCTTGATATGGTCTTATGTTCTATACCACATATAAACGCGCAGGGTTTAAATCTCGAAACAGTACCGTGCAGGGCATTACATGGCAGGGCCGCAAGTGGAGTGGCAGCACCGCCAGCACATCAGAATAGACTCTCCACAGCCAATCGAACACGAGCAATGCTCAAAAACTGGACCCAAGTGATGTATCCCACCGATCATGCACAATTTTAAAGGCATGGTGAAAAAAAGGGGGAAAAAATAACGAGCTCTAAAAGAGCAAAATTTGGTTCAGGATAAATGTAGAAATGACAGTTAATCGTCCAGTAGACAGTACAATACTCTTTCTCCTGAGGTATGTGTTTGGTCACTAGCTACTATGCAGGTGCCCTCCCGGCCTGATAAATAGCCGTCATTTTGTAAAAGCCAATTCGCAGGCAAGGGCAATGTGATCGCTTCCCCATTTCTGTGAAACAAACGTAAATTGGCTGGATTAGCGTGCTTCAGTACAGCAATTGGTTCATTTGGTTCGTATGTCAAAGAGTTGCAAACATACAAGAATATAAGAGAAATATGGATATGGATCTCAGTACCTTGGTCGGGAACCCAATTGTTTGTTTCAAAATCTCTTTGGGAAATGTATCCAATACTTGAACAGTATGCAGACCTTCCGAGGCCCTAAATTATAACATGATTGCCAAATTAGATTGCTGAATGCTCAGGTGTTACATTGCATTAGCTTCAGAAGGATAGTTACTTACCATATGTAGTCTACTGTTCCCATGAATTTTCTGTTGTAGCTTGTCACTAGTGGTTCCTTGCTGGCGTCTTTTGTTCCCTCAAAATCCTGTTTGAATAGTTACCAATAGGAACCATTTGCATTCTGTGGGTAACTGAAATCTTATCCAGTTCTACAATGACATGAACTAAAAAGGAAACTAGTACATGTTCTAATAAATTTAAAAAACAGCACAAACTTAATGGTTGAAAATAAAATGTTGAAAATGCAGACAAAATAAAAGGAAAAAAGATTGTACTTGCCTCCACGTCAGTATATACACTCCTTAATTTCAAACTGTGTTCCATGAAAGTGCATTCATCCTTCCCAGTGGCAGCTTTTATTTCTTCTGGTGTCCACCTGTACGGATCATGATAGTAATACCCTTCATTCAATGTAACCTGCTGAGAAGATAGTGAACTATCTGAAGTTTCTGGAAGCTGATCTTCCTCTTCAAGTAAGTGACCATTACCACCAGATAACTCTTCAAAGAAGGAAGGGTCAGAGTTCACATCTGTACAGGTAACTTCATCAGTTGCTGTATCATCTTCAAAAGCATGAGCATTGTTTTCAGGCTCATCTCTACAAGAGACTGAATGACTATTTACCACTTCAGCAGAACATTGATCGACACATGCATCTGAAACAGCACCATTTGGTTGATGTACTGGTTCTTCTACTCCAGTACTACTTTCTCCTTCTAGCTTCACATTACTCATCTGGTGAATGGCATCAATGACATTCTGAGAACCATTGAAATGAGATGACTCTGGTTCATTAGTTGCACAATTCTCTTCAGAAGACAACATGGATTCAATGGTATTTTCCTTTTCATGAGGCCTATCTTGTGAGACAGTAAACAGTTGATCTGTAAGTTCTTCTGAAATCACATCCCCAGCCAAGTTGTCTGAAGAAAGCAGCTGACTGCTATCAATTATTTCACACGAACCTGACCTAAGGATCTCCGAACAAACTGTAGCTGGAGCAGACGGAGCATCTGCAATGTCAGGTCCTTCTCCAGATTCAGTTTTGATCCCTCCCGGAGACCCTTCATTGGATTTGTCAGTGGGTTTACACTCTTCGTCAGCATCAAAAGCACAGGCACTCTTTACAGTATCTTCCAAACAGTTCAATAATCCTTGCTCATCGAGCTTAGAAGAGCCAGAACAAGGTACATTATTGCCACAACTGTAACTTGATTTAGAGTCACAGAGAGACTCTGAAGAGGTATCAGTTAAAACAGGTTCTCTTCCAGCAGGGGAAGAATTCTCCACCAACTTTGCTGTTTCAGTTTGAGGCTTACAATCATTTAGAAGAGTTATGTTTCCCTCTCTATTGTTGGATGGATAAAAAGGTGGATGGGATCTGTCACAAATAGAAAGCAACCAATGAATTGCACATCTATGCAACATTAGAAAAAGACAGGTTACAAATATGTAGGAAGAGATTGGCCAAAAACAAATACTAAACAATTTCAAGAAGCAGAAGATTCACCGAGATATATTAGGGCCAGTATATAGCCCCTGTGAACTACCACCAGTTTGCTGTCCAGATATAGTATTTTTCGCAAGGCCAGACAAATTCAACTGCACAATTTGGAAGCTTTATGTAAGTTTCAGCTCCATGAAATCAGTGACACTAATGGGTTGAAGAAAGAAAAAAACATTACCTTTTGCTCCAACATAAACTTGTACAGTGGACTCTGAATAAGAAAGAAATGAGATCGTTTGCGTTAATCATTATCACGACAGCATGACAAAAACAGTAAATTACCACGTAATCTCGAATTGATAAATAGTGATCCATACAAGAACGTTACCTTGGGTGTAGAGTTGAAATCTCCACAAAGTATCACTGGAGCGTTATTCCACATCTTAGATAGAGTGTAAGCTTTATCCAGAAGTGTCCTGACCTAGCCATAAAATCAGAAATGCAATATTAAGTGCTTAGTAAATGGTCAAGAATACAGAGGAAGGAGAAAAGACACTACAAAGAATATAGAAATGATGCCAAGAAAGCATAAACCACCATGTATCAAGGTATACATCATCTCTATTTTGTACTGAATAGCATATAACAAAATAAAACTCGACTAGGGGGAAGAGATGTCCACCCTAGCATTTTATAGGTAGAAGGTGAGAATCAAACCCTGGTGGGCTGGGTGACGTCCACCCTCACTAGCCAACTCATCTCAGGGAGATTCTCATCATGTAAAAAATAATAAATAACAAATAATGTCGTTTTTTGTTTAGCACAGATGATGTTCAACGTGCTAAGAAGAAATAATGTCATTTTTTGTTTAGCATATAACAAAATGATATTATTACTTGTTAGCATGTTGGACATATGCAGCAACTCCATTTCTTTTATGTTCAAATTGAGTAAATACATATACTGTTCTTGATTCTAATACAAACAATAATAATCAGGTCAAGCAGCTAAGACAAGCAACAATGAGCACGCTATATATATGTTTCAATTAAAACAGGAAATCAAAGGAACGAAAAGAACCACATCGAATAGCAATGTACCTGACCAAGTTTGATGTCCCCTCTCTTCGGATTATAAAGAACGTGAATATTACATATAACAACTTGTTTAGCTTGTTGTGGATGGTTAGAGCTGTTAGACAAGAAAAAAAAAGAATAACATGGATAAATAGCATGATAGTTTTTTCTAATAAAAAAAGACTGACACATAGATACAGTAACTACACACAACTCAGGATCACGGAGGATACAGACAACAGCAGGATAATTGCATCACAACTATAATTGCAATTAGATCACCTTTACAGTAAGAACCAATCATTCTAGAGCGTCAAAACTTCTCGAAGCTGTGAACCAGATTGACTATGATAGTGTTGTACCTCCAAACTGAATATTAGGGATAACAGTTATCTATAAAAAAAACTGGTTTCCAAGGGAGCAAATAAGGATGGCAAAATAATCTTCCATTCAGCTCCAGCACAAACTTAACCCTCATTTGTGATTCAATCCGTTGATAGCAATCATGTTGTATTGGGCCATGCAGATACCACGATGTGCATTGTTGACTTTTTCATCCGTTCATTAGTTCAGATCAGAAAAGGCTTCCGTGCAATCTTCAGATCAGAAACATAGAAGTAGCAGTAGACACGCAGCTCTCGACCTCATGAGGAAGGGCAAGGCTAGATCATTGATGATAGCACCAGCAATTAAAGTTGGATTTATGCTGGTGGATATTAGGCTATTAGCAGCACTTGCATCAGTTTATACTATAATTTGTTTAGGCTAAACTATTGGGTCGATGAGGATGCCCATATTTAACCCTTGAATTGGGAGTTAGTTTTAATCCTTTTTCGTCTCTCAAGGGAGTAAACAGAGCCTAAAATTTCTTTAAAATAAGAATAAAAGCAGACTGTATACTTTCTGAAGTCCTGAAATTGCAATTACCTTGTAGATAAACTAGTAGAGTCAGTTTGCACATTTTGAGGGACCACCGACTGAACAATACAACAAGGAAATAAATAGCAGATTTAGATGTCCTACAAGATTAGCAGCATATAAAACCAAAAGTTTAGTTCAGGGGCTGATAAAGTTGCCCCAATTTTAACAAACCTCTAAAACACAGAGCTGTGCAACATTATCACGAAGTCCAAGCTTGTTGAACTCAATGTCCTCTTCATAGCGCAACTGGAACCTGATAAAACATGACCCAAGCTAAAGTTGGAAATTTTTCACATGTTCAGCATGGTGAAATGTGAAACAAACTTTGGAGCACCTCAAAATAAGAAATTTTGAACCAGTTACCTTGTTGTTCTCCAAAAAATAGCACATCCATCAGCTGCATCTCCAGTCCGTGTCTGTCACCCATTCAGCAAAAATAGATTGTCATACAGTCAAGAAGACTCAAGAAAAAAGGTGTTCCTCTTTTGTCAATGGAACCACTAATAAAGTTTCAAAATCACATGTTTTATTCAATTAATTAAAATTATTATGTTAATGTAATTAAAAAGTAGCCAGTCTCTCTTAACAACATGTTGCTAAAAGTGTCATATAGAAGAGTAAAACAGCATTGAAAACATTACCTTCCATGTGCCGTTATATCCTCGGCTTGCCATTTCTTGTTCAAGGTCTGTAAATTTGTCAACCTCCTAAAAGCACAAAGAAGGGATACAATGTAAACATTCATCAAAGGGATTGACAGGTACTCTAATGCTACTAAAAAATAGCGGACTCTGACTAAAATCAAAGAAATGTTTATCAAAAGGTTTCATCGAGTATAAAGAACTGGCCCATTATATCCTGCTCATGACATTTAATTGCCAACATCATATGGATCCATAGTCGCAAATTTTTATGTTTGATAATAAAAAAGCAGCAGGACCTGCTAAGATAAGTATGCTACAGCACTCTTCTTGTGAACTACCTGAAGACATAGAATGTCTGGAGACCACAGGCCAAACTCAAACAGTAACTTATCCTTGCGCCAGTTCCAATCCAGGATGAAAGATGGTATTCGTTCATAAAGAAACTGGTGCTCCTGGGCCAGATAGTCCGCAAGTATATTGTATGATAGAACCTTAAACCTCTCTGTACAATCAAAAGTGCAATTTGTAAAATATTAAAGGCAATATGTAAACTTTACTAGAAATAATGAGGAGCACATACACATAATGGCCGCTCAAGTCAAGACGAAAGGCAAGCATTGTCACTAAAATAATGAGAATTTTTCACATACATAATTGGTACTGAGTCTGCTTGAGTTCGAAATACTGAATAAGTCCATTGGAAAGATAGGACAGGAAGGTAATAACAAGCAACACATTCAGTGTCCATAAACACATTGAGTGCAATTATAACTAAGTAATTAATACGCACAAATCTAATTGCAACTCATTAACAACTTTGGTTAAATGAAGGCTGGTGCCATTCTCATCCAGACAGCTTTTTGAGGAATGAGTTCGATCATCTTCTCACTCCTCACTTTTTTTTTGTTTGGTTTGTGGAATGGAATGGGTTGATGCATCACCACCTCATTCCTCATAAGCTAATAATTAGTACTAGTGTGAGCCTGTGAGGAATGAAGTCATTCCACCAAATTTGAGGAATAGACTCATGATGCACACCTCTCATCTAGAACGGTTTGATTTCTCGAACCAAACACCCACCCTATAAATGTAAACATGAGAACCACGGTCTACAGAGGATTAGCTACACAAATCTGAGAGCAGACAAGTGGCAAACATTGAAAAGAGTTACCAGCTTGGTGCGGCGGCCTCTGCTTCGCAAAGCGCCACCGTCGGCGGTAATCTGCCAGCCTCGGAGGCAGCTGCGCTGCGCCAGGGCGGAACCCTGCACTCGGTGCCCCGTGTCCATGCGGCTGCGGCCGTAGGTGCCCGTGACCGTACGGGTTCGGAGCCCCGTAGCCGTACTGAGGCCCCGGCGGCAGCGGCTGCTGCTGCTGCTGCGGGTGGCCGTAGTTGTACGGCACAAACCCATAAGGCGGGCCCGGCTGCGGCGTTTGGCCGTATCCGTAGCCATAGCCGTAGCCATACTGCGGTTGGTGAGGCTGAGGCTGAGGCCCCTGCCTGTAGGGCGGCGGAGGCCCGCGGACGCCGCCGCCGCCGCGACGCAGCGATTCGTTGGCGGCGCGCACGGCACTGAGATGGGAATCCCCGCTGACAATCTCGGCGGCCGCGTCCGGGGGCGGCGGCGAGGGCCTTCCCGAGTAGCCGCGGCGAGGGCGGGGGTAGCCTCTGCGCTGCAAGGTAAAGGTAGGAGAGATGGTTTAGACGCGAGAGATTGAGAGGGGGAGAGGTGAGTCGGGAGGGAGGCATACGCTATAGGAGGCGGGGGAGGACATGGCGGCGGCGCGGCGTAGAAAGGCGGAGGAGGCGAGGCGCATCACTCTCGCTCACGGCGGCGGCGGCGGACTCGGCACGGCTGCATTCGAATGAACCAGTCACCGAGGGAGGGGCGAGGGCGGCGGTGTCTCGTGGCTGCGGCTGCGGGCGGTGACGGGACCGGAAGCATGTGCTACGTCACGTACGCGAATACGCGATAATATTTATGTATACACCTTGGCATACGTTGACACGTCGTATGGCCGTATTCTGGACCCCAAAGGCCCAAAGCGGACTCCAGATGTACGTATACGGCGATCCTGAAACCCAGCCACAGTCCACAGCTACCAAACGTCCAAACGGAAGTACGGACTACGGAACCTATGATTTGCGAGCATTTCAATCGGCACCTCAATTCGTCCTACAACTGCCCCCCCCTGAACACATTTATTTTTTACTGAATCTGTCGCTTAAGAACTTCTGCTAGCGGTTGATCAATTGCAACATTAAACACATTTACATCTACTTTGTAATGGTGAAATTGGAAAGGGAAATTTAGAATCACTGGTGGCCATTAATCAGATAAGAGAATATCACTAGATGATTTATGATTATGGATTACCTCCTGCTGCTGGTGGACGGCAGCCGGCGGTGGGTGTCAATTTTGGACAGGCGGCGGCGTGGCCGTGGCGGCAGGCGGCGTGGCGTCTCACGTCTGGACTCCGGTCTCCCAGCCCAGCAGTACCAGCGCGGCGCAGCGGTGTTCAGCAAACTGGCGAAGGAGAAGACAGAAAGACGAATGGCAGCATTTGGGCGAGAAACGAAGGAAGCCAGAGCCACGACGCCTTGACGCTTCGTAATCCAAACAACAATGAAGGGAGCAGCAGCAACAGACAGGCCTAAATGGGCTGCTTCCTATTGGGCCTCAAATGCACTTAACGTTTGGAATGAAACAGCTAATACGTACATGTGTTGCTCAAAAAAACAAAGCTAATACGTACATGTATCGATGTTTATTGACTATATATACTAGAGGATTAGCAGCGCGTCAGGGGGTGCCAGGCCCCCGTGCCCCTCCGCCACTGGTTTGGTGAATGTACCAATACATAATGATTTTTTATTCAAAATACAAACCTGACGGCGGTATTTGTTTGGTGTCGTATGGGTCTAATCTATCCGGTATCCATCAAATCCTAAAAATCAGCTGACGCCTCTGAGGGATGGTCCTCATCCACCTGTCTAACCAAGCACACTATTTCTCAGTGCGAAAATTAACCAACATATAAAAATGTGTAGTTTTATCGAACGTTGTGATCGGATGTAACCTATCACTCAATAACACAGGGTTTATACTGGTTCAGGCAACGTGCTCAACGTCCGGTTCAAGTCGGTCGGTGACTTTATTCCTGAGCCCAGGTGCTCGAAGTTTGCTGTGGAGTTACAAACGAGTAGGAATAAGATGGGGGTGTTAGAGGTCTGGTCGGACTCTGGACTGAAAGGCCGAGAGTGGCGGGAGCCCCTACGTGTGCTAAGTGTTGGAGCGTGCGCTCTGTGTAACTTTAGAGTTCTAGAGCTGTGAAGCTGTTCGATTGCTCAGAATATCTAAAGCTAGTAGAGAGGGATTTGAAATGAATCCGTTTTTCCGTCCGTCCTCCTTTTAGGAGGGAGCACATCCCCTTTTATAGATGAAAGGAACGACCTTACAAGTTAGGAGAGAGAGTGTGTGTTTTCTAGTCTTGTTACCCACATCGTCGGGTACAAGACAGTTTGTCGGCGCCCACAATACTGTTGACGTCCAGATGCATATGGCAGGCTCCATCGTGTTCTTCTGGTATGGTAAATGTTGGCGCCTAAAATACTGTAGGACAAATATCGGTGCGCCGCAACACTGTTCGTGTTCTGACATGTCTAGAAGGCCGTAAAGTACCCTTCTGGCATGGCCTGACAGTACGGTCCTGCAGGCGTGCAGGGTACGGTCCTCGGTACTGCGGTTGACTCGAGTGTCTTACATTATCTGCTCTGCCTGATTTCTTGGGTCCTCACCGAGCGGTCGTCCCTGGCCGGTCGTTCCTAGTCGGCTCCGACCGCGCTGGTCGGAGAAGAGCCGCAGACAAAGGTTCGGTGTATTTCCGGTCGGAGAAACCGGTCGGAGTCGGAAGCGAGTGTCGCCCCTCCCTGACCAGGATCGCTCTTCAGGTCAATCGTTAGGTATCTGGGCCGGTGAAAGGTCGAGATGGCGACTAGAGGGGGGTGAATAGTCCTTTATAAAATTTAATCGCGTCGGCTAACCAAAACAAGTGTGGAATTAAAACTATCGGTTTAGCCAAGACTACACCCCTCTATCTATGTTCTTTAGCACCTTTCAAATATACTAATTAAGCAATTAAGGTGCCGGGCTAGCTAGAGCTCACCTAAGCAATTCTAGGAGCAAGGTCACACAAACCTATGCCACTAATACTTTAAGCGACAAGGGAGCTCCTACACATGCTAGTAAGCAAAAGCACAAAGCCACCTAAGCTCACTAGCAATGCTCAATAACAAGGCAACCAATGCCAAATTAGAGAGTACAAATACTTAGCTACACAAACTAAGCAATGTAACTAACAAGATTACTCAAACTAAATTAGCCACGCAAGGGAGCTACTTCTATGCTACACAAGCAAGAAGGTAACTAATATGCTACACAAGCAAACTAATTACAAGAGCAACTACACAAGCTTAATATATATGAAAGTAAATGCAAGCTTGTGTAATGGGGAAGCAAACCAATGGGAAGAATAAGGTTGACACGATAATTTTTCTCCCGAGGTTCACGTGTTTGCCAACACGCTAGTCCCCATTGTGTCGACCACTCACTTGGTGGTTCAGCGGCTAATTAGCATCACCCGCTAAGCCCGCACGTTGGGCGCCGCAAGAACTTACCCCTTGAGTGAGGGTAGCTCAATGACATGCTTTACTAAAGTTGCTCTTTGCGGCTCCCGCGGGGCGAGCACAATGCCCCTCACAAAGCTCTTCTCCGGAGCCCCGCACAAGCTTCTTGTGGGCTTCGACGGAGACCACCACCAAGCCGTCTAGGAGGTGGCAACCTCCAAGAGTAACAAGCACCACTGGCTTGCAACTCGATCACCTAGTGCCACTCGATGCAACCTCACGATGCAATCGCACTAGAATCGCTTACTCACACAATCGAATGATCACTATCAAGTATATATGTGATGGAGGGCTCCCAAGCACTCACAAACATGGATACTAAGTCCCCTCAGGTGCTCAGCACTCGCCATGGCCGAGGGCCACTTCTATTTATAGCCCCAAGGGCTAAACTAGCCGTTACCCCTTCACTAGGCAAATGTCGGGACGATCGGATGCTCCGGTCCGATCGACCGGACGCTGGACCTCAGCGTCCGGTCGTGCGATGCACGCCACGTGTCCCCTCCTTTAAACGCTGTTCACTAGATCTCAACGGTCATCTGTTGACCGGACGCTCTAGCATGAACTGACCGGACGCAGCAACCCCAGCGTCCGGTCGTTTCCAGTAAGATACTGGACATGACCGGACGCGTCCGGTCGGATGTGATCGGACGCAGCACCAGCGTCCGGTCACTCTCAGCTTTTCTGCTCTGCCTGCATCACCAAACGTCAGCTCTGACCGGACGCAGGACCCCAGCGTCCGGTCACTATGTGACCAGCGTCCGGTCCACTTTGTGAGACCCTACCTTTTCTGTCTAGGGCGCCGGTGGCACCGTCGGACTGTCCGCACTCTATGGGCGGACACTTCGCCGGTGGAGTTTCTCCTTTCGCCTCCATTTCTTCACCGAGTTTATCCACATCAACTCCAACTTCATCTCCTTTGTAAATATGCCAACCCCACCAAGTGTACACCACCATATGTATGTGTGTTAGCATTTTCACAATCATTTTCCAAAGGATTAGCCACTCAACTTGCCACGCCACTCGATCCTAGCAACGATGCAAAGTTAGATTACTCGAGTGGCACTAGATGACCGATATGCAAACAAGTTTGCCCCTCTTGATAGTACGTCCATCTATCCTAAACCCGGTCATAAACTTCTCTACACACCTATGACCGGTGAAATGAAATGCCCTAGGTTATACCTTTGCCTTGCGCATTCCATTCCATCTCCTCCAATGTCGATGCAACACATGCACCAACATGATCAACAATGATATGATCCACTTTATATCATCACGTGATCATATTGGTTCATCGATCTTGACTTCACTTGCTCTTCACCGTTGCCATCGTCCATCGGCGCCAAATCTTGCTTAAGCTTCACCGCCACGCGGTCCATCACTCCAAAGCCTCCGACTTGCCCTTCACGCTTGCAACCGGTCCATCAAGCCAAGAGTCTTGATCTTCTCCACCTTGATCACATGACTCAATGTCATGTCTCATTTGCAATAAGCTCCTTTATCATCACATGTGTGAGCTTTGCAACATCTCCAAGCCATTGTCACCTTCATGGCATATGTTGTTCACACACATGTACATGTGGACTAATCACCTGTGTATCTCACATAAACACAATTAGTCCACCTATGTTGTCACTCAATTACCAAAACCAAACAAGGACATTTCAATCTCCCCTTTTTGGTAATTGATGACAACTCTATAAAGATATGGAAATTAAGCTCTTTTGGATTAATGTTGCTTGCCCAAGCAATTTTACCATGTGAAAATGATTTTGGACAAGTACCACAAACCCGAAATGGTAGTATTAGCTCCCCCTACATATGTGCTAGAGTATTTGATTCTAATCTCACACATATGCATAGATTGAAAATGTGGGAGAGTAATTACTACCGAATGATGCTAAGGTGTATAGAATAAACCTTTGAAGCGTGATACCAATCGGAGTTGCACCTTTAAGTTCATCCTTAGCACCATGGTTAGCTAGATATCACTTGGACATAAAAGCACTAGATACCTCATGAGATCAACATTAGAAGCAAGGTACTAGCATTACTTTGAAAAACATACCAAGTGTCTAGCTATCATCCTATGCATGCTAGTTATCAAATCATCATTCAAGTTCTATAACTA